TATACAAGATGATTTTATCTCCTTTGGAGGGATCTTAAAATGGCTTAAATGAAAAGATGGGGCTTAGTTCCCTCGAATGGGTAGGTAGAATGTAAGGTAAACCTAGTGAGGAGACAAAGAACCACTTATCAAGATGGGAATGAGTGACGGTCGAACAGCACCTTTACTTCCACCCGCCCACTTGATGGCGCCAAGGATTTTACCTGAACGGGAAGTAAGTCCTCAATTTTGGAAGCACAAATGAAATGATTTGGTCAATCCCGATTTCCTGGCTGGGGGGAGGGTGAACAAGAATCATATTAACAAACTTCCCACGGACGGGAAAGAGACAGCTTTGGGACAAGGGAAAAGGCAGGGACAGTTTATTACGCCGTTCTTGGTGAGACACAAAGAACGAAGAACAAACCACCCAATGACGAAACAATATTTCCATGGGAAATCAGTGGGACAAAGGGGGATCATTCCGATAGGCATGTCTTACATTTTTCCGTATAGCCGCGGGAAACGGTGAATAAACTGGAAAACGTCATGTGAAGATTAAATCAATATTGGTGCGTAGGACCAGCAGGGATGTCAGCTGTTCACCCGGATGTGCATTATTGCCAAGTGAGAAGAAATTCAATTTCAACCGATGACTCGAATTCCAGTTCGAATCGATGGAATACGCACTGTTGTTGATTCTCTAACAGGGTGAAAAAGCTGTGCACTATTATTAGGTAAGCGGGATCACCAAGGAAAAAGGGGATATGGTCTCCAGTCGAAGTGGAGCTGCAGATCAGTCCGCGGGCGGCGCGGACGCTTCTCTGGTTTCTCCAGAGGAATTGCTTCTCTCAGAGGGTTATTGTGGATGGAAATATGTACTGTACATTCGAAATATCTTCAGGGGAACGACACTGGTCTGCTGGTAGAAAGAACAACATGTACGATGCGCCTAGCTAGACTGGTTTCTGGATAAGCAATGGAAACGGTATTCGCCAAAGGAATTTTGCCAATTCGGCTCCGATGTCAGGCTGTTGTTCGCAGTTGCGCCTACTTGGTGTGGCTGATCGATTGGCAACCCGCCGGGCAGCATAACCCAGCTGTGAGTTCCCGGGCCCCATTGTTTACGTAAATGTATTTTCCGACGATACTGAAGTGTGTATGAGCCGGTGCCACCACTGAGGAAGAAGGTAGCCGGTCTTCCCAGAGATAGCGAATTCTGTTTCCGTAGTAGCGAACTAGGTCGGGGACAACGCAGGATGCCGTTGTGCGTTTGCTACAATAGTAACCTCTTTTAATGGGGGGGGGTAGCTGAATATGGTTCATCGCAGCAGTTGAGATTCTTGGGGAATTTCAATAGCCAGTGCGACATGTCAATACAGGGTTCTTCACCGTAATCTTTCGAAGAGGGACGACGTCTGGAGGAATGATAAAAATTTCAGAATTCACGCCCGAAGGTTAGCGTATGAGTACGGAGGCTTCAAAGAAGAAAAACAACGATCCCAGTGCTCCTCCGTCTTAGCAAAGGGTACCGCAACCAAAAATATGCGGAAAAAAACAAAGGTCACGTAACGAAAAGGATAGCCTGACTTACTAGTTTATTTTCAGTCAGATCCAGGCGGTGTAGCTTTGCTTGCGTACATCCGGCTGTCAGAAACAGGTGGTATCGCTGAGCAGAGGTCATGGTGGCCACGAGACGACCGATAAAGTGGGCTGCAATCAAGGCGATCAGCACGGACGCGTTCTACATGAGATGGTGTGAGAAAAAGGGGATTGATTTGTAGTGCACCAACACTGGCAGTTTACTCATCAATTTCATTTCTAAAACTAGTCAAAGAGAACTGGAAAAAGTTTGGTACCGATTGAGAAGTCATCGTTTCAAAAGGGCTTGATAAACAATCGGTAGTTTTTTTTACTGGGCTACGTTTCGCTTTTGACTCCGCCTGATGAAGCTTTTGTGTCAAAAGCGAAACGTTGTCCAATAAAAAAAATCTACCGATTGTCTAGTCAAAGAGAGGTTATCAGCTGGAAGATCTCAAGAGCAAACGTGAACAGGGATGGTAGAGCCTTGTAAAGGCAGTGATCCTGGGACTCGAGGATGTACACATCGCGGTGGACTAATGAGGTGACAGTCATTGCGGGGAAGGAGGCAACGTGTGTGTATGTGTGTGTGTGCAGTGGGCAGACCCCTAAAATGCCACTAGGGAACAAGTTGGCCGATCGCCAAACGGACAATAAGGGTGGTCAAAGAACGGACAGCGGAAATGTCACGAAGGCGAATGTGTGCTGTCTTGGATAGAGTCCCATCAGACCTGATTACTAACAGCTAATCCGGTCGGGGAATAATATAACAGATTGCAGCTGACAGTTAGATAAGAAAATGGTTGACATTCAGTCGCTCATGCACACTCCTAGGTCACACCGGGAGGCGAGGGGAAGGGACCCTAGTGCCGTTAATGCTGGTTCTGTCCGCATGAACCGATGTTTTACGAGATGCGGTGAAATAAACAACTTGAGAGTCAGCGACAGTCCAAGATTTGGGTTCTTCCTTTTGCGGGAAACATACCGTACACAATGCGGAAATGATGGAACAGTGGATGGGAATCAGATATGAAGAGTAAGTATTAATGAAATAACTATTACTAACGTTTTAGTAAGGAAAGTTGGGTTTTTGTGGATCGTAATATCTGATTTAGTGAACAGGATGAAAGTACGCCTTCGAATTCGTGGGGACAAGGTGAGTGCGAGTTATAAAGGCATTTTATCCTCTCTAGTGTGGAATCAACAGCGTCTTTGTGCGCAAGACATTTGCTTAGTGGAGGACAGTCGATTCAGCTCAGACGAAGAGCAAATTCTATCCTCAGATTAGAGAAGTTGGATGGTTGATCAACGAATAACCCTACCGAAAACGTATGCTTATCGATGGACTGAGTGGGGAAAGTTGGATATTTCTGAAAAACAATCGAAAAAATCTAGCGTTTTTCAATACCAATGCAATGTACAAAAGTCTATGGTTCTGGAAATGACCGTTCCTCTAGAAGTGCACTCTAAGCACCGAGTCAGTTGGGCGGAACTGGACGTTTCCTGATACTGTCGATGAGGAAACATTTTTGGCGGTGAGGACAATCCCAAGTTAAACAGTTTGGAGATTCTACCGTGATAATGGTCTGACAAAGAATGAAATCACTGACCCAACCAGGGACACTATGACAAATCGTGGACAGGGCAGAAAAGATTGAAGTTTCTGTTCGTCCAACGTATTCTAAACGTTTAAATACTAAAAGGTGAAATGAAGAAGTAGGGGGTGGGGGGGCAATGACGTGTAAAGAATGAAGATAAGCCGAGAAGTCATTTCCTTACTGTAAGATTCATCATTCTCACGGCATAAGAGACCACATTTCGAGTTATCTTTTGGCCAAATTCTCTCAAATGAGGGAACGACCAAGAGTTGACCTAATAGTCGCGAAGACATTCAAACTGGCCCAGTACTCCTTCAACCGTAAGTGGCAACTAGATTGGGAAAACACTTTTAAAATGGCACCGAACACTACAAGCAACTTCAGATGCATCGTTGGAGTCGTACATCTTAGAATACGCAACGGCTGTGGAAGTGGTGAGAGGAAAAAGATGACGTGCACCGAAGAAGTAACTAACCGTCCGAAACAGAATGCCATTTAGTTCGTCCCACCAGCGGGTTCCCGTGACGAGATAAGCTGCCCGAGTCCATAAAGAACAAGGTTGACTGATGTTTGTAGATGACGACAGACCCGAGTCATGACCAATCAGAAGGACACCAAAAACGCTGGTGAGGACAAAGTGCCCGATAGACAAGAGGACCGTCAGTGCGTAACGCCAGTATCTGGACCACAAACCATCGCGATCGAACAGACCTTGTAGGGCAACGATGATCCATATTATAACCCACAAGTTGTCATTAGGATCTGCTATAGCATAATGTTGCAGAAGCCAGTTTGGGAAATGCAAGGTCCTGGGAGTCGAAACAGGACCGAAAACGATGCTGGAGATATCTGAAAGGGGGATGGAGGAAGGTAACTTGGCCCGATGGACGGATGAGTAGTTGGTGCTATGAGAACCGCGACGAAACTTGCAGGATCTACACGAGCAGATGTGAATTTTCAGACGGATGGACTACTCACAAATATTTAACCAGTGTATCGATGACGCTCACAGAGTATTTCAGTTGACCCCAGTTTAACAGCTACAAGTCATGCATTAAGGACAAGCTCGTTCCAACTCATACAGTTTCGGTCACAGAAAAGTGGGAGTGCGGAAGAGATACAGCCGAGCATCAAAGGTGGCAGCACAAACGTTTAGTGATTTTAAGTAATTCCAACTATCTGAGGAAACGAGAAACTGGGCAGCTACACAGTGAAGACGATGACTTTGATGCGGAGGCATGACTGACTTCGCGATTGGGTCAAGACTTCCAGTGTCCTTGATCATTAATGAGTCGAGTTTCAGGGTTTCCGTCTGGCAAACTTGCGGTTATCAACCCGACTTACAGGGTATTCGATAAATAATCTACCTCTAAATGTGCTAAGCTTTAGTCAAACAACTCTCGGCCTCACTACTCGTAAATGGTCGGTATGCTTATCCTGACTAGTCATCAATTCTGACGAAGGATCCGGCCCATTCGAGGCGAAACGCTCGAAGTTGGACAGATTACCAACGCTCGTTGAACAGAAGATCAAAGACCTAAGCTCCCGACTAAGAACATCTAGTCAATATCCAAACGCGAACCATCAAGATGGCTGAGGAACGATGTAATCACTTATGGGTGGTTCGACGGCCTAATCAGAAAATCAACAAATATGAACTGATAAGACGAACCTACCAGTTACACAAGTGTGGTTGGCAGCCGTGTAACCCTCAGATCAACAGGACACAATGAGAATTGAGGGATAAGGCGACCGATCTCTCAACATACATACCATTGACCCTAAAATGAGCGAAAGCCATCACCGCTTCTGCGTTGTTCGAGGATTCACAAGGCATCCACAACGTCATCCTCAGAGACAGTAAAACCAGTGCTGGCACCCCGAGGCTTCAGTGCCGTACAACCATAGGGTCTACTTAATTATCTGTAAAGCCCTGAAGTGAGAAAGTGAGAATGCAGATGGGATGGGAATCACAAGGCAAGAGAAACTGATTGATTTATTCATCGATCTAGGTGCATACCGACGTATGAAAAAATATGAAGACATGTACTTGACGTAACACATTACTCATAAGGTGGCTGGAAACTTGTCGACCAGTTTGTAAATGAATGTATTTCGCGAATTCATTTCGTAATTCATTCACCTACCTGGAGGCAACACAGAACTAACACAACGGAGAGTAGAACACTTATTCGGAAATTTGGTTACGAAGAGCGACGAACAACCACTGCGGCAAGGAGCCAGATGGCACCAGAAAGATAAAAAACACAAACTCTATGAAAACGACTCTGTTTTACACGAATCCCAAGGTTCGCTGCATCCCGAGCACTTTGAACAAGAAATGAGGATGACTAGACAGGTGCGGCGACTGATGGGTACAGAAAGATAGACGCTTCCGTGAGTTGCATGCATTTGAAGCGCTAGAAATAGTTATATCACAAATTCACATCATTGGCACTCTGTGGTAAAAAAGTGCATTTCCCCAAAAACGTTTTTGATGGCCAAACAGAGCCGTAGTTGAGGATAATTCTTTCCAAACTTAGAGTACTGGGACCAGTTGAGACGGCGACCTTACAAAATTTCACGTCAGAAGGCACAAATTCTAAGGAATTCCGTGAGTGACTTCCATGGGCGTTCTTCGTAAAAGAATCATTTTTGACAGATTTACCTGAAACTACGGATGAGTAGACTGATGTGGGCAGTTAGTATAAAACACTCTTCAGAGGGATTCGTTATTAGTGTTTCACATTATCGATAATCTGGAATGCAGATGTTCTGATTGCTAGAAAAATGACGATGGTGGCAAAAACATGACCGGGAAAAATGCGACAACCCATAGGGTGCATACCTAAACCAGACAGCGACAACAATATGTTTACATCATCAACACCGACCAAGGAATTCATTCCCGCTCACAGCGATGAGATGACTCATCCGATGTGAGACGGGCATTGCTATTGGTAACGCACACTAGACCTATGGAGTTGTCCAATCGGATGAAAATCCCAGACAACGCCAGTGACAAAGCAACATCCGATAAGGCGCATGTCTTTGTCAACAACAGACTGGTATCTAGCTCCGCGAAACGGCACTGGTGATGCTAACGCAGAAGGTGAGACCACAAGCCCAGGTACATAGTTGTTTTCTCATTATTACAGTAATATCAAGGTGAGAAAGGGGATATCATCCCTAGAAACAAGCACTATATGATGGTCTAGATTCGAGCAAATCTAGAAAACACAACTCAGTAGTTGCATTATCAGTTTTGCCTCCTGGGGGCAGGGGTTTCGTCAAGAGGAAAAATAACATGTACGGCAGCGAAATACTGTCACTTGCATGCCACTTTGGTTTTAACGGGAGACAGAAATGAATCGCATTTGGAGAACATCACAAACGAGAGAGTTAGCTGGGATTTAGTTTGGCGTCCCGTGAAAACCGAATTGGTAGGCAACAGAGTGTAGTTCGCTAATTTCGTGCGATTTGGGTTAAAGTGAAACATGAAGTTGAGGTTGAGTTCGAACCACGGACATTCCGGTCACTAAATTCGCGCTCTAACCACTTGGGCCGTCTCGCCCCCCGACCGCAACTAAGCTGATGAACAACTCGCATTCAGAAACATGCATTCACAGGTATTGAACTTGTTGCTCCTCGATAATGGTTTACTTCATTGTATCAGTAACAACACAATCCTAATTAGCTGCACACACACAATAACATCTAACTAACAATCAACAAACGCACCCGAGCGAGCAGTATTCCGATATACTGCCGACAGCTAGGTTAGTCCGAGATGATCCCAGAAAAACAGGATTAGAATCGGGCTAAAACCACTTATCTACAAACCAATTTCGTGTCAACTAAGACTCGACACATTTACGATATTCAGCTGAATATGCTGCACCGTTGGCGCGATATTCGGGAAATCACAGCATATTTTCTTGGCAGAACACACTACTCATGAGGTCGTCATGGGAAATATCGGGAGTTTCTAGCGACCTTATAAGTAGTGTTCACCCATCATCAGAGTCAGTTTTCGCTTCAGTAATATGAGGCGGAGGTGCCAGTGGAATCGATGCTTTTACTGTGCCCACCAGATGGAGTCTAAGCGAAGGGAACAGATAACCCAAAGCGACCTGTGTCAATATGATAAGTAGGTATATGTCCATATAGACACCGACTGTATTGAATTCGTCGAGGTTAGTCAGGAACAATGACTCCAGATATTCCTTCAGAACTGTTATTCATATTTTCGCTAAAATATAGTGGTCAGGTTTAACACATGTGTCGATCGATGAAATCCACCTATTTCCCACAAGGTACGCACATCATCGTCGTTATCATCATCGACAACATGAGATCAGTGTTCAATACCGATGCTTCACTGCCGTACGAAAATGAGCCTTAAGTAGTAAGTTTTGGCGAAATTTTACTTTACTTATGAAACGGAATGATGGCATCTAACTGGTACACAGAGCAAGTAGTTTCCCGGTACCCTCAAAATTGCCCTCATGATAAGTGAACCTACAAAGTCAACATAAGAAAGACCAAAAACAGCTTTCTTCTTCAGTGATAACCCCTTACAATCCCTTCAAAGATGTATCAGTCGCCAGGAGGGTCCAGTCACCAATTTCGCTGTGGAGAGGGGAATATCACTTTGCGAACAAACAGGGCTTTTCCAAGTGTTCCATTAGGATAAGACCAGCATGGACGTAACAAACTGAACGGTAGTTGTGTGCAATGTTTGGTGCGTTGGCCGACGTGATTGCATCAGACTAGAGCGCCCAGCAACTTACTGTCAGCGGAATGGACGGCCGCACACTGTCGGAACTGTGCGGCAAAATGACCTCCCCGGTGATTACCTCAGAAAATACAGCCACACAGAGCTCGATGTACGCGCAACACAGACACAAATACGCCACACGGGGTAGATGACCTGTCGAGTCACGTTAAAGAAATTCGACGGGGACAAGAAAATGAGTCACACATCGGTCGGTATGCCATTTTTCGTAAGCTGTGTGGATGTCGGCAACACCTACTAATGGTATATGAACGTGTAGTTGAACAAGAACACAATATAACCAAATGTGTAAACGGAAAGCCCACAGGCTGGCTTAGCAGCGGTGGAACCGAGATCGATAGAGGCTGCGAAACAAAGCCAACTGAGCACGAGATAGACGAAGTAGTAGGATGGAAGAGAGTTAACATACTCTAGAAACACAAGAAGCAATTACCCGGATACACAGTCACATTATCATACTAGGACTATCTCGATGGCGACATCCAACCAACCTAGTTTGAAGAATATCGGGCCATTTTCAACCATAATAATAATGATAATCGTTCGCCTTTGACACCCTTTCGGTGCCTAGCTGTCATGCCACCCGAAAGAAGCACGAGGGCTGCGATACCGCCAGGTTAATCAAGCCTACACGGGGGAAGTCGAGAGGCAAAGGTTGGTTCGAACCATGGACCTTCCGGACAGTAAATTCGTTGAGCCATCTCGCCCTTTTCAAACCACCTTCCAATTGGCAAACAAACAGTGCAGTTTTAACCATCCCAACAGTGACCCAGTAACACGATCGAGCTGATCCGCGTTGAACGGATATGAGCTATCAATCCTAACAAACCACCGTTGTCCTCAAGGCCTATCGTTGACTCCTCATTTCATTGGTCCTCAGAAGTGAAGCGGAGCAAAGCAAAGCTTGACAGAAAGCCCCTATTGTACTCACATTACTTACGCAAACCAACTGTGTACTGAAACGTGAGCAAGAGTCTATCCATGTGGAACGAAAAGCCGAAAGATGGTTAACCTGACAAAACTACTGACTTTGAGAAAATGTATAGCTGATTTTGTTTTTGCCGCATTTCCGCCATCACCGTGTTCTTGATCTATTTATATCCAGACAACGAGAAATGTAGTATTTTGAAAACGTCAGACTAGCCAAATTGATCGATTTCTGCTTTACAAGTATATATGGGATATGTTTCACATGTTTCAGCCACGTCAAATTCCAAACGTGAATTAGATCGGCTGGATCGAAGGTCAGCTATACACATTTTCGCCGACATCCATTTACACAAATCTTTTGACTGCTACAACAAAATGAAAGCTAAGATCACTGAGTTGTTGTTTAGAAATGGTTATCAAACGACCGTTGGCTCTGATGAAGTGGAAACGGATTGTGCTGTTTCCACATACTCACCCATTATCACAAGTCTCCACGCATCCCTCAGCTGCATAATTGTTCAGCTGTAACATCCTTTCGGTGCCTAGCTGCCATGTCACCCGAAGGTTGCACGAGGGCTGGGATACTGCCAGGTTGCCCAAGCCTAGACAGGGGACGTCGAAAGGCGGAGGTCGGGTTCGAACCACGGACCTTCCGATCATTAAGTTCGCGCTCTAACCACTTGGGCCATCTCGCCCCCTGAAATGTCAGGAACCCTCAAAGTTTACCTTCCGCATGTCTTGCGAAAAAATAGATTTAGAGTGCCAATGTTTAAATTAATGAGAACCTCAGAAAAAGCAGCCATCAAATGACAGGGACCGATAAGGTAGAAACGCATTTTACGGGTCCCATCTGCATAAGAACGAACACCATTTCGTATGACACCAACGGTAAAAGCTCCTAAGTAAAAAGATCATCGTAAACTGAAACACGGTGGAGTTTCCCGGCATTGTTCTCGTAGAACCACGCAGCAGACGACCGGTATCTTAACAATCCGACCATTTGGTTTTACGGATGAACCGCATCGCGCGATAGCATCTTTGATTTACGTAACAAAATCATTCCAATCAAAATGAGCCACGCATTTCGAGGCCACCAGACTAATAGTAAGATGGTTCTCGATGTGTAAAGAATGTGTACCGAAAAAGGAGTCATGCAAGTAGAGTTAAAACGACTCCCCGAGTCGCGTAAGCATTACAATGAGCTATAAACCTGTGTGAAAAGAACGTAATCGTTAACAATCTGATTCCGGTTGTTTGATCGTGCAACGGTGACTTCAATCGTCGAAAATATCTAGCGCCATCAACTGCGGTTGCTATGCCGCATGCTACGCATGCCGAATCATCATCCAACGAGACGGTCGTTATTCAACGTAACCCTTCCAAAATGCCAAAAACAACGGAGTGAACAGCGTGTGAATTGGCATAAGGGTCTGAAAGAGATTGCGAAAAGTTTGGGTGATGTTGGAATGGAGCACCTTCATGTGTCTGAGTAGAGACGTCACAAAGCACGGTGCCCAACCAATGCCTCAGGGGTTTATGGCGTCAGCTTCTGTCCAAATCTTCCGATTGGTTGTGCGGAGGTGTAGAAACCTCGGAATGATTGCAGTATGTTAGTACCAGATAGCTTCCTTTTTCATTCTTCTTTTTCCATATTGAGGCTTTGAAGGTGATTTTAGAGTGTTTATAGGGACTAAAAACACAGTTGTTGACCTCCTTTGTGCGCAACGGAGAAACGTGTACGATAGTTTTTTTAAGCTAAGTGAATGCATAACATTAATTGAGGCTATGGCTACAGGTGGACGATTACACAGACGTTTTGAACCTTGAACAACGAGTACTAAATCGTTAAGCTGGGTTTTCACAGGCGAAAATAATAAACAAGAGGTGAGTTGTTCCGGACTAATGATTCACACGGCCACACATTATCGCCTGACAGACGTTATTACTGATAGTTTTACGTCTTAGTTACCAGTGATCAAAGTGCATATTGGAGTGTGGAAGCCCGGGTAGTTCATCGACAATGCCTCGGAAATGATACGAAAATCGCAAGCAAATCGATCGAGAGCTGGGGAGGATTCTGCCGGAAACCGCCATTCAAAATACCATTTGGATACTCATTTAAAGTAAGCCTATTGTGCCAGCTCCGAAATGAACCCGAAAGAGACGGAGAAGGTTCAGTGGTATGAATCATTTCTCCTTAAAAAAGCCATCCTCGCGGGGTGAGACAGGACTGTTTCATCTAATAAATCTACTGTGTGACTTCCGGTATTTTAACCTTGCATAACTGCTGAGTGAAGTACAGAGGGTTTGAGGCAAATTATCAGGAACATATGGGCGAAGAACTGATTTTTTTAGAGCAGAATATTTGTGCCAGGAAAGGAACAGTTCAAGGTGATTCGGACGAGTGATGTAAATGCGAATTCCACATATCCCATACTTGGCCAACTCTGTAATAAATTAGATGGAAGGTATCGAGCAAAAACGAAAAGCACCAACAACGCACATTTTGGTTTGGTGTGGCAAGTTAGATAGGGATTGCAATCAGCGGTTTTTTGGTGGCTATGCAGCGGGCGACATATTAAGATATAATGGAGCCAGTTTGGTTCTGGCAAACGATTTAAGGCATCTGGTATTCCGAAAAATAATAGGTGCTCACTTTAGACATTTTCATTTCGTGGAATAAAGTCTCTTACACAGTTTCTACACCTCCGTCTGTGTCTAATCGAGAGAAGTATATTATAGAGGACGTTTGATTAAACTTATAAGAAACCAACAGCTTACTTGTTTTGAACGCGTCACTACAATTGTCCAAAGAAAAGACAGCAGGTATTCCAGGACGATGTGAGGTAGGAAGCACTTGCATCAGCCGAAAAAGTTGCAGCCACGGGAGCATCGCAACACCCAATAACATGCAAGCAAGATAAGCGAAAACATGTGCACAGCGTAACCGGCGACGAAACAGTTGAACGATCAACAGATTGGCGACATTTCTGTCCCCTGCTCTAGGAGTGTCCTTTTGTCCCGCATCTTGGTCGTCCGTCGATCGAGTTGCGATCCAATCCCAGTTAGCACTTAACAGCCCGGTAAGTGAAAGCACAGACGAGCATAATAAAAGAACCAGACGTCCCCAATCGGAATGGGATAGGTGCAGATGTAGAAAACCTCCAGTAGAATGCGATCGAAGAGGACTGTCTGTTGTATTGTAGGTGGCATTGGTTACAACAAAAATGCTCTGAGCAATGGAAATAAGTAACTGCAGCAGGAGGAATGTTGAAATCTCGGACCTGCGGTACACAAGAACAAATCCGTATTTGTAGTATTTATTCTGATCGCTAGTTAGGCGATGCCCCTCAGCACGCGGAACACGAGCGCAGCCCGCAATGGGGATACCACATAGTACTGGTGGTGAACACTCAGTTGGAGAGTCCTCGTCTTTCCTGGTGGTAGACCGTACTCCAGAAAACCGCTTGAGCGGGTTGAAGTTAGCCGCTAGACACAAGGAAGTTCGAATACCATTACAATTGCCATTACCGTGTGCGGCTTTTGTTGGAAGACGTCCCAGTGTATACGGTACGGGCGATGGGACAGTTGTGCTCTTGTTGGTTAGGACGACCGGTGTGTTGCAGAAACTAGAGCGTGTTGTTCGTCCTGCCTGACTGGGTGTGGGCCAACAAGAACTAAACCACAGTCCACGGGAATAACGACTATCGGCAACAGAATTAGACTCAACAGCAACGTCTGAGGAGTCCTGTATTGGGGCTAGCAGATGAGCACCGGCCACATCATAGAGTTCCACCTCCGGCCCACGACGACTCGACATATTAAGTCCAGGTGGGATCTGAATACGAGGTTCTAATGAAGTACCATATTGGTGGGGAGTTTGCTTCCGGCCCACCAACCAGTTCTGATATCCTGGATCGGACGAATCCTGTGGAGAACAATGTGACTTAGTTGCCATCAAATAAGGTCACAAAGAAGACGTGCATCTCGGAGGGGGCGAATACACGACAGGCCGTGACGTTATCTGAAAGTGCAAACAAAGGAAAATGGTAAACACGGATTAATGCTCATCAACCTACTACAAAGTGGTCCCCAGTAAAGAAAACCCGTTGATTAGTAGTATCTCCCAGGGAGAGGTATCCATTTGGGAAGGGGTCGACCAAATGACCTTCGAGCCAAATGGCTGACTTTGATGGGTGAGTTAGATCTCCTAGAGTTTCCTTTCTTGGTCTAAGTTCTCTTGAGAATATAGTTCTTTCATAATAAACCTTAAGTGCTGGATGCTACCGGGGGCCTAAACACTTAGTTTCATCCGTGAAATTCCATTGTCTGAGGTCAACACTCTGGACTTATTCTGTGGACTTGGAATAAGTTTGCGGCTCCTTGTCGTTCTTTATTTCATCCACCATAGGGTTGCCTGACTGTTGGTCCCTGGGTTTCTCCATCACATAGAGGACATTGTCCACGGAATGCTCCTAAACCCAGATTCCGTTACACAACAAGGTGGCGCATTGGTCAGCCAATATAGGCTCCAAACTGAGTAAACTCACTCTGAATTCTGGTCAGCCGCACAGTGATCTGAATCGGAGTGCGGCATGCACACACGTCCGCGGATGTGCAAGCGTGCAGATAAACCTACTGACTTCAACCATGTACTAATCGTCTCACGTATCTGATGCATTCTATTACATACTGTACATGACAAAGCAGGGTTTGTGTTGGTGACAAACAGAAATTGGACAGATTTTATGGTGCGTAACTATCTCCTCCAGTCAGTTGGCACAACTATCAAAAAACACTCCCTCTAACTGGCCGCTGGTTTTTTCGTTGGACTGAGCAATTTGGTCAAGGTGATATTATCAGTGTGGAATTTCGCGATCGTTGCGCGCACATGGATTGATATGTGGTTTACTTGACCAAGTCTACCTTGGCCTGGCATTGGCTGTTTGGATAAACTGAGAGTTCAATGTATCAGCTTGGATCACTGAAACAGTTCCATCAGCTTCTCTTAAATACCTGTTTTTTTTCACACGCACCCTGACTATTGTGCTTGTTACAAACTCGAATGACCGTGTTTTGTAAGTAACTACGGTAGAATCGATGAACTGGACCATCCCAACTCAATACTAATTACTAAATAAATGTTTGTAGCATCGCGACAGTTCTCACGGCGACTCTAAACTGTGAATCCTCGGATATGGAAACGTTGGAGACTATCTTAAACTACTTGAAAGAAACCGCAGGACGCAGGAAGCCACCTAATGGTAAGACTGCGCTTTTTCCTAAGTTGTGCTGAGAAATATGTTCACATCTCTTTAAAGAACATTATGCTATATAATTCTGTGTTAACATGCTGAAACTACAGTTTTTAACACACTCGAAGATGCCAACTCCCATCCATTGGTACATGTATCGAACCGCAGACAAAACACCACACGCGAATTTGACGAGTTACTGCCTGCATTAACCATCCATTCCTTGAACGACAACACCTACTCAGTGATACTACATTTCAGTCAACATGAGTTCACAATCTGAGGTATCAAAACATCCCTGCTGCCACATCTGAAAGAGCTAAAAGGCATGAAGAAAACACGATATTTTCGGGTTCGATCTAAATAAAATTGGACATCAAGAGGAGAAACGAGCACTTATCTGCCAGACGCAACAACCAACATCTCTAGAGATGTGCTTCTTGCCACAAACTCTTCCACTAAACGAATTTGGATGACCTTGTTCATCAAATCAGAGTTTCGAGTGAAATCCTGTTACAAACTCAGGAATGAAGAATTTGATGTTCATTACAAGTTCAAAAAGCTTAATCCTTTACAAAGTTCACTTTCTTTAAACTCAACTGAAATACTGCAGCTCCGTTTAAATGGATAGCAAACGTCAGTCCTCTAATATTTTAGTAGGATTACGCTGCAAAACTTGAGAAGACATCATTATTAAAAACGGCGACACTCGTATATTGGTTTTTGACAATGATGTGATAAGGTTGGACTAAAATGATTGATTTGTTTGTTGGTCAGATGATCTATTCGTCGAGCCTGCGAACGTTTTGCCACCAACCCAAGAGACCGGCTGCGAGTGAGACCCGGTGATAAGGCACCGTGTACGAAACCACCTGATAAAACTTGCCCACCACATTCTTCAATGGTTTCCTTCGAAATGAACCGGCAATACTGCATTTGGGAGGGCATTTTATGGACTGACCACTATGGGCGACAAAGTGGAATCTTTCTCCTCAGCTTTTGCCAACCTATCACAAACTTTTTTGTAGAAACCGTACCTCTTCAACTAAGCTTCCGGCATCTATTTATAAAGACTCCACGACGACGCCAGTGGTTCAGGTTAGAGAGATTGGAGCGCCGAAGACGACATTTATGTGAACAGTCCACGCACAAAATATGCACCTCTCTTGTGAGTGTCATGGAATAAGCACTTCTCTCCCTTGGACTGAGTAAAAGGAATAGGTGGGCCATACTCCGGGATGAGACGGATATAGATGAAGAGCAGCAATCGGGGAACCTCAGGAGACATGAAGTCAAATGTGGTGGCTGATGGAACACTGATTCGTATCAGTGACTATCATTATACCAGAGGATATTACACAACCAGGCGTTTTCCATAGAAAGCCTCACGAGAAAAGTATCTCTTGATGTGGGGCGAGATAGCTCAGTGGTAAGAGCACTAATTTACTGACCGGAAGGTCCGTGGTTCGAAACCGACCTCTGGCCTCACGACTTTCACTGTTTAAGCTTGGGCGACCTGGCAGTATCTCATCCCTCGTGCTTCCTTATGGTGGCATGGCAGTTAGGCACTGAAAGGGTGTTACAGCTAAACGTTGCTGCTTACATGCAGGATCGATAGTCACTGGGAGGACCAGACGAGTTTTAAACTGCTTTTGGCCCTGTGTCATCAGAAACTACTGCCGGCGGCATATTCACATCTCGAGTAGTGTGAGGCCAGTTATTCGTGAAAGCAAATGGTGATGATACAGTCATCATTCTAATTTTTCAGCGGTAAAAACCGCATACAAATTGCACAGTGGTTATATCGGTGCTACTCGCATTCGAGGATGGGTACCGCGTGATCCCCACTGCGCCTGGTTGGAGACATTGCAAGATATGGCTGCCAACCGATGTCAGTGGTGTTCTTGTTGTCAGTTTCTATCCAGATTGTCTGAGTGAATGTCTGGAGGTGTAGGCACCTCGGAATGATTGTGGTAAGCTAGCACTAAGTCCCTTCCCCATCCACCTTTATTCTTTTCTTTACAATAAGGCTTCCAAATAAATCATGGTTGTACGGCAGTGAAACATCGGTGTTGAGCACTGATGTCATGCTGTCGATGATAATGATGATAGCAGTGGTTATAGCTGCCACAGTTTTGTTCGCTGACGATCTGGGGAGATAGAGGTGGATGACCACACACTGGAGGTATTGGTCGGTATAATTACCGCGAGAATTAAAGAGCGGCCTTACATAGAGAAGCTTAGATGGGGAAGCTATACACAGAAGTCCACAGCTTGGGTGCATGCGCTCAATTCAGTGCGAGTGGAACATGCCTGTCAATGCACCTAAATTAGGGGTGCCGAGTCAATTCGACACGCCTTGAGCTTGTCTAAATGACACTCGTGAATAAAATTATCGGAAGCCTTCTTGAAATAAAAATAATCCACATCTAGCTGACTTTCGGTATCCACAGCACACGTTCATTTCCTACAGGAACAGATAGTTGGTGGTGCGTGACCGGATTTTCGGACATCCATGGTGTCTGTGTATCCGGACACCAAGTCTCAATGTGTTGTTCTGTATTGAACTTTATGTCCTTCACGTCACCGTACCAACAACCGACGTTAGCTCAATAGGGTTACATTTACCTAAACCTAAACATTTGCCAACCTTAGGGTGTCAGCCTGTCGTGGTGTACGAGCACCCGTGCTGCAATGATCCTCCGGACTATACCGAGCGGAACTCAGTTTCATAAAGTTCAAACATACGTAGACTGATGAAGAACAGTGATTCCCCGTACTGAGAGTATTCGTATTACAAGGCAGTGGGGGCAAGATGGCTAGAGCGGAAGGTCCGTGTTTTGAACCTGATCTCTGCATCTCGACTTCCCACGTCTGAGCTTGGGCAACCTGGCCCTCGTGGTTCCTGCATCTAGGCCTCGCAAGAGTGTGACAGCTGGACGATTCCAGGGCAGTCTAGAGGTAAAGTTGTACTGTCCCCTTCGACAGGCGTTTCGCCCAGGTGACCAGAATGTCACGGAAGTAGCGATGCTGCCTTCCCATGAGGAAGAACGGATTAGAAAATGACGGCCCTAAAAATCGCAAACTCCGATCACGCAGCGATTGACCGTCCCCGTCCCCTCTAAACAGGCGTCTTTGCATTGTGTGGTTGTTTGACTCAGTTAACACCAATGCAGGGTGATGCGATGAATAGTGTTTATTTGTTGCATTGACAGGCCCCGACAGACTGCAGTTCTGAGATTGAAAAGGAAGGGCTTAACAAGATCTCTTACGACTGCAAGAAGGACGGATATAGTAATCCTAGCAGGTGATATTAATGTCCAAGTTAAATGGTCAAGTAATGCAAAAACACAGTTAGGTGGTAGATTTGGAGTCGATACTCAGCGTACGGATAAGGGAGGGGGCGACTGCATCAGTTGCGCTTGCCATTACAAACCTCCAACACAAACGCTCATATTAAGTTACTTGGAAGCCATCAACTGCAAGACAGTCATGGACTCCATTGGATCATGAGGCTATCAGTTACCGAAGGAGAGTCTCAAGTACAGATTGTCGGTCTTCCAGGGTACGCAACTTAACTCTGATCATGCCATTGTACCTCGCTTACTGTCAGTATTTCGCGTGCCAAAGTAGAACAGTTCTGTACCTCAACTTCGACAAATTTCAGTAGATCAAGAGTACCGAGCTGACCTGACCTGACCTGACCAGAAAGCTACTGGAAATTCACAGTAATGCGGATGACGAAGTTTGTCTGGAGACTGAAGGGAACGCGAGTTAAAGAAACTATCCTCTCAGCTTTCAGAACTGTCTGTCCAAGGCATCTGACTCGACCAAATGAATATTGGGCATAGTCGAGACCAGCAGAACTTATTGCGGCCAGGAACTAACGATTGCGATCGCGCACGCAGACCTCTCAAAAACCGGAAAATCAGGAACCTGAAGAATGACAGAACGTTGGTGGACTGAGAAGACTCAAGAGATGGACAAGGCTTTCACTGCACGAAACAGCCGAGCCTTATTTTAGCTGATTTGATCAATCGGTCAGAATACACATGCCAGTGAAGCAATGTGCGAAGAAAGACTTGAGCGGTGGGCTGAACACTTCAAAGGACAGCTCAGCTGGTTTCCTTACACACAACTGCTGGAAGAACCCAGCAGGCCTGAAATTAGCATCGGTACCAGCCCGCCATCAACAACAGAAATCCAGTCTGAAATATCAATCCTCAAGCGCGACAAAGGACCGGACGCGGATGGTCAGTACACCATACTATTCAAAGGTGGCGAGGTCCTGGTAAATAGTCTGACATACATGCTGCAGAAGATTTGGAACAAGACGGAATACTCGACCGCCTTGCAGTTTTCAAAGGAGGCACATGAACGTCATGAGAAAACCATCGCTGAATCGGCCTGGTATCCATAGCATCTAAGGTACTCTCTGGTATCATTTTGCGTGGGTCTATCCATTATCCGGAAAGACATTCGTATGAATCAATCTCTCACCGATTATGCATCGACCATGTCTTTATCTTAAGGCAAGTTACTGGACAGCGCCACTTCTTCAAATGTCCCACGTTGGTCGTTTTCCTTGACCTGAAATCTGCCTTGGGTTCTGTCGATCATGAGAAGTTTTGGCGGTATCTTGCAATCAAAGGCGTCCCTTCCTAATTTACATCCTTGTGTAGGGCAAGCTTTCGCCTAAGTTCACTACGTTTAGTGGTGTAAGACAAGACTGTCCTCTCTAACCTTTACTCTCAAACTTTGATATCGACGTGCTGCTTGAAACCTCTGCCTCCGAAACCTCAAAAATCGGAATGTCCCCCGGAGGTTCCCTCACAGACACTGAGTATGCCGACAATATTGCTCCCCTTGGTTCACATCCTCCGAAACTGCAAACCATAGTAAACGACCTAAAGAACTCTGCCGCAAGGTTTGACATGCGCTTCACACCTGCGAAGTGTAAAGTGCTGCTACAAGACTGTTGTTGTCAAACGCAAACCTCATGCTTGCAGACCAGCCGCTCGATATGGTAGATTAATTTGTTTACCTGGGCAGTTGTATATATCCCAGTGGACTGGCTGAAGATGAGATTAGTTCCTGAATCAGGAAGGCCAGAGTAGATTTTACCAACCTCCGACACCTATGGTACCGACGTGACGTCAGTTTCTCTGTGAAGGGCAGAGTTTACTGTGCAACAGTGCCACTCATACTGCTTTGTGGATCAGAGACGTGGCCTCTACGCGCAGGGGACATAAAGATGTTAGTCTTTGACCATCAGTGTCTTCGAAGGATTGGCAGAGTCTAGCGGGAACATCGGGTTAGCTATACTGAAGTACGCCAGATGGTCTCAGGAAGAAGGAACTCTTCCGCGATGAATGAATTACCCACGCTTAATAGGTTACGCTAGCTATGGCATGTACTCCGCAAGCCAGAATACCCTCTGGCTCGCAGAGCTCTTTCCACCCAGTCCTGTGCTGATTGGAAGCGGTAGAGGAGTGAACAGCATATGGCATGGCATCGAAGTGCGAAAATACTGACCGGTAAACTTATTCGGGTCGAAAACCGCCACCTTCCTGGATGAGGACCCCGGGACTCAACTCACCGATGATTAATGACACTGGTGGAAATGGACCCATCGTGCAGTCAGTGGAGCTTGTGCATCAAAGCCTTTAGCGCGTAGCTATCCAGTTTCCGAACTAACTCAGAATGCCGTCGCCTTCAAGGCTGTTATATATCCTACGATCTCCTACTTTCCGGCGAACGAAAATATGACACCTGGGACCAATACGCCCACGGTAAACGGTTTGTAGCTGATAAGTGAAGCTGATTTGAACTTGGATTACACTTGCCTCTTCCATTAAACACCGGTTTACCCACTGCAGTTCTTCAACCGCCGGGAAGAAGGTTGTCCCCATCAGCCTTTGGAGAAGTTGCAACAAGGACCTAGCTATAAGCAGACTGAGGGTTTTGAGGGTGTGAGATGGCTCACCTTTGTTTGAGGCGGGGATGACGTTTATGCTACTAGGGATCGTGGTGATTAGCCCAGCGGCAGTCAGTTCTGGTAACCGTGGAAAAGTAGGGCCGAAAAAGGGTAGCATGTTTCCCTCTCTGGAGTAAATTGCGGACTATCGGTGGAGGGAGATATCGATCCCCCCACTCCAAATAGCCTGGGTGGGTACCCGTAGCCCTTATTTTGATCGCCGATAACTTCTTCTAGCCCTGTACCAGCTGTCGTTCAGACAGACCACGATTACAATGCTTAAGCTCGGTTTACGGATTTCGAGATATGTGATACGTAAAACAGTCCATCCTGTCCCACGTCCAAGTTTGAAATGGCTCAGTAGTTAAGGCGTGAATTTACTGACGGAAAAAACTGTGATCCAAACCTAATCCCGGTGTCTCGGCCGCTCCTCTCTGGGCTTGAGCAAACAGGTGCTATCTGAGTCCTCATACTTCCTTCGGGTGACAAGGCAGCTATGCACCGAGAGGCTGCCACAGCTGAACGACCGTTTCGGATGTGGAATCCATAGAGGCAAGTGTTTGCGACTTCTTGATCAGACTCACTTCGTTTAGTGCTCCAGGGCCAGATGAGACTCACCTCGGGATACCGAGAGACATTCCACTAAACGGTGAGTAACCGCAAGTTTTCAACACCACCTCCACATATGGATTCCACTCGTTAGCTGGAAGGAGGTTACAACTACAACTTTCAAGTTCGGCGACTACGTAGCACAGTCTAGTTATATGCTCATCAGAGTCACCAGCATACCGTGCAGTGGCGAAACGCGTGTTGAAGCACTTAACTATCAACAACCTGAAATCCCACACGCAACACTGATTTATACCGAACCGCTCAATCGTCACGAACATCATGTAGCTTGAACGAAGTAAAGGATGAAGAACCCATCTCTGGTGTCACATTCTCTAATTTGCGATCCACTTTCCAATATCCAACTTCCGCACAAACTTGAGGCATTCAAGTACATTCAAAAGGCAGTACTGCTATGGATAGCAGGTTTTCTCTTACACCAGACTTCCCGACGTTTGGCATAAGTTCTTCCTCTTCCTCGTTCTCAACAGTGGACCTTCAGGGTTGTTACGGGGCCACTGTCTTTTTAATATACGTTTATGATCAGCTAAACGTTCTGACGGGTTGAACCCTTCTCCTCGGTGATGATTTCCAATCCTACAAACTCGACACCGAGATCCAAGTGGATATCGACTCCACGGAACGCTTGGCGCTAGACTAGCATCTTTTGAGCTCAAGATAACTCAGTGATTAGAGCGCCAGCTTACGGACCGGAAAGTCAGTGGTTGGCATCTAACTTCAGCATCTCGACCGCTCCTGTCTAGGCATGGGCGACCTGACGGTATTCCAGCTTTTGTTGGCATGGCGGCTAACCACCAAAAGTGTGCAACTGCTGAACAATAATATTTTTAGAAAGTTTCACTTACGTCCAAAAGGGCGTGCACATGCCGTTCGGTGGAAAGTCTGGAAACACAATCGTGATAATGGTTATGAAGGTTCCGACTGCGCACCTCTGGTGATGCAGAGGCCGCTTCAGCTGGATATGCTGGGGTGGGTATTGTATTGAGCGAACGAGCGGAAGCGTCTCTGCTTGATTGGATACCC